TATTATATATTAATATATTATATAATATATATAAATGTATATTATATATAATTAATGCACGATAATGGGATCTAGCTGTCACTTAGGTCAAGCGAAGGCGCTGTAATGTCTCTGTTTTCATCTAGGGAGGCTAGATATTCTCTTGAGAGATTAATGATTTTATTTACAAAATGGGAAATGCATTGGTTTGAAAAACTGGCTTGATAGAATCAAAACTGGACAAACACCGTGGTGCCTCCGGTCTGGGGAATACCGATGTCCTCACATGGAAAAGCATGCGTTATCTTCCATGGTGAGAAGGTCTGGCCCTTGGGTGGGAGCCCAACCTTCCTTTTCCCACTTCAGAAATCTAACTTCTCCAAGAATTCATTAACCTCTGACCCCGGGATGGTATGGAGACCTGCCTATGGGCCGCCAGACTGTGGACCTATGGCAATTCCCTCCTGAGATGTTCATGTGGGCCATTAGCTCCTAGATCAAGACAAGCATTTGGATTTGTGTGGGAAATCTGTGCAATTTTACATAAGCTGTAATTATCACATGCTCCGCTTTGGAAACATAATCACCATGTTTACTTGGGGAGCCAGAACTAAGGAAGAACCCTTAGAATTTGCCCGGTTGGTATTCACCAGTAGGCCTGATCGATGGAAATCCCCAAAAAGGTGCTCAGCAAAAATACAGGAACTTGATAATGGGGTTAAAATGATCCCCAGGCTAAGGGCCAACCGTCTCTGTGCTGTAAGGGAGGTGGGTTTGGGGGTAAATAACGAACAGGGCCTGAGAACTTCATGTTTCCTTCTCAGAGTGGAAGAAGCTGCTGGAGCCTCAGCTCTAATCTTCCCTGGACTGGGATGGAGAGAGAAGGTGTTGCTCATCAGAGCGCCTGATGGGGGGCAAGGGGCACGTTCAGGCTGCCTGGGCAGGGAGACAGCATGATGGAGTGCAGTGGGTAAGTCCATGGGCATTGGGTCGGCCAGGCTTGGGTTCTGACCCTGGCTGTGTCTTCTCCTGGCCCCTCGAGTCTGGGCAAGTTCCTGTGAAATCGCACTCACAAGATTGCCGCTCCCACTGCGTTGTCACGCAAAAGCTCATTATCAAGAGGTGCTTTTACTATGTAAACCCTCCCAGGACGTGGACTACAGGGCAGAATTCCCTACCCTCAGACAGTGGGAGACACAAGTTGGGGGCTGGGGAGTGGGCACAGTGTTCCCTGTGCGTAAAACCATGCTTTACCCCTAATACCCTTGCTTAGTTAAGACCCGTTGGTCTGGCAGTGGGGGAAGGGTGTGGACAGGTGGGGACAGAGACTCATTGCTTATAGCCGAGGGATAAAAGCCATCACCACTATGAGGCCAAACAAAAACCTCAGGGATAGGGCAGCCTCAGGCCCTAAATTCAGACCCCCTAAAATCTGGGACCAGGGAAGATGAAAATATATATGATCAGGAGGAAACAGCCAACAAGTCAGGGGCATCTGACCCCCACACCCAGATGGAGCCTTTCCAGAAGGTGAAACCTTGCTGGCTGCCTTCAGGTGGCATCTATATGGCATCCTGGAGCAGGTCCCCTGCCCACACTGACACATAGTCCATAAACAAGAAATTGACTCCGGGGCTGGATGGACTGGAAGGGCAGTGGGTGTTACAGCGGCCTGCGCCATGGCTCGTATTAATCTTCAGAAAAGCCCAGATGGTTGAAGGCCCAGAGTCCAGGGCCAGCCAGGAGGTGGCCCCGCTTATCCCTCTGGCCAGAGCTCCTGACCCTCTCTCACATCTCAACCCTAAATGCCAGGGACATCAGCCTACAGAGCCCTCCCTCATTCTTCTGTGACTTCGCCTGCTCTGTTCCTGCTCTCTAGATTTCCCATCCCCTCCTCACCACGGCCAAGCTCACTCATTCCATGAGACTCAGCTCAAGCTCTTACATCACTCCCGGACTGTGCTGCCTTTCACCACCCCTGCCAGGCAGGGGACACTGTGAGACTGAAGCAGTTAGCTGAGTGAAGTCACATTTGTTTAAGGAATCAATCCATTCATCAGTCAACCACTTGATCAGCGAGCACGGAGAGGACGTGCCCCTGGTGTGGGTCTGTGCACCACTCTGGCTGAGGGCATCGGGCTGTCTAACCCGGCAGGACCTTCTCCTCGGGCGGAGGATGGAGCCACGGAAGGCTGTCCACAGCCATAACCTTGAGCTGCTACCACATTCCAGGCTGCGCTTGGCTTTCTAAAGGGCATTTGTCACGTCTCACTTCTCCGTGCAAAAGCCCACAACACAGTGTGCCTGGCACACCCTGGCAACAGTCTGTGTGCCTGTCTCCTGCCCCAGCCTGTATGTGTGAGGCCAGGAAGCAGGTCTTACGCATCACGGTGACCCAGCGCCCAACACAGTGGCCCACACTTTCTAGACCACTGTAGGCGCTCAGACTTAGGGACGCGACAAAATCGGCGTGGGGGTTCGCAAAGCAGACCACACTGGTTTGATGCTTTGTAACCTAGACGAATTTGGCATGAAGGTTCATCCTGTAGTCACTGTGAGTTTGATTACGCGGGTCCCTCCTCCCAGCCCGAGTCCCTCTGGGACAACGTGCAGAAAGGGGTTTCTTGACACCCCCTGCCCACATTCAGAGCCCTGACCCTGGGGGCCCCCCTGCAGGTCAGCAGGAGAGAATAGAAACTACGCACACAGCCGGAAGGCAGTCCAGGGGACAACGAGGGCCAGCTGCCCTTCTCTTCTCTTTAATGGTGGAGGTTTGGTCATGGCATTGAGGCCTTTCAGGGATGCTGGGCAGAGAGAGGACAGCCCTAGGGCTCTGAGCTAAAAGGGCCCCGACAGAGGGAAGTGTCCTTAATCGGGGTGCCTCAGGGGCCAGAGCACAGGAGACTCTGTGCCTCCTTCTGGGGGGCCCCCTGAGGCAGTGCTCCTCCCTATGCACCCAGCACCCCGTCCACCCCCTACCCACACTCTCCATTACCTGAGTCCCCCTTGCTTCCCTTCATGCCGTCGGCTCCTGGCATCCCGGGTATCCCTGGTGGTCCTGTACAACAGATGCCCGGAGAGCATGAGGGCTGGGCTCTGTGGCTCTTCAGACACCACTCCCCATGCCCACGGCAGGGCCGAGGACCTCACCTGTCAGCCCGGGGGGGCCAGCGCTGCCGGGCTCACCCTTGGCACCTGGGGATCCCGCTGCGCCCGGAGAGCCGGGAAGACCCTGCGCTCCAGGTTGTCCTGCAAGTTAAGTGACAGTTGCAAGGTTGGGGGTGGTCGGCAGAGAGCTGGCTGCCCGCCCCTCGGCTCGTCTGTCTTCTCGGCTGTGACACGTGTACCTCCTACCAGCGTGCATGTTCCCTGGGCAGTTTTCCACATCTCCCTTTAGAAGCCACGAGCGAGCCCAGTTAGTAGGAGAAAAGTTACAGCCTGACCCGTGTGTTCATCGTTGCCATCACTCTGCAGTGCCTGGGGCTCGCGGACTCCCTAGGCACCCCGGTCGTGGGTGTGGGCTCCACACCCCTGCGTGGCAGACTGCGGCGAAGGTCTAAGGGGAATGCCAATCAAGCCTGTTCCTCCCAGGCGGGGCCCGGTTTTCAGAGAGCCCCCACGCGCTCTGGGTTAACACTACAATGAATCTAAAGACAGTGGAGTCGTGTCCCGGACTTGACTTTGCCCAGGGACAGTAGCAGCTCGAATGATGTCTGGATCCCCAGAGTTCTTACCTTGGTCTCCTTTCATTCCAGGAGATCCAGCCACACCTAAAATGAAGAAGGACTTTTAGGGATTTTGTTCCCCTCTAGCTCAGCCTGCCAGAGGGAAAGGGAATATGGACAGGCCGGTGGACGGTCTCTTACCTGGGGGGCCTGGCTTCCCTGAGTCACCTTTGCTCCCCTGGGCTCCGGGGGGCCCCATGACCCCTGTATCTCCTTTCATGCCCATGTCTCCCTTACTTCCTGAAAAACCAAGGAGTTGTGGTCAGGCACGGAGGAGGACGCAGCCAGCCGCCAGGTCCCAATGACGCTGTCCCACCCAAAATCCAAACTCAAACTCCTTGGGCTCCGCCTACCTGGTTCCCAGAAGTGGAAGATACAATGGTTGGCCTCAAGGAGCACACCATCTTGCCCCAGAGACCAGATGGAAACGCGTGAGAAATAGACGAGGTCATGGGGCCCGGCTGGCGTGCAGCCGAAGGCCCAGAAGCCAGGCTCTCAGGACCCTGGTCAGCACGCTGGTCCCCTCGGGAGGGACCACAGCCCAGGCTGAGCTAAGCGCTGCCCGGCTCATTTTAGTGTCTGCATTTGGGGAATTTTTTTTTTTTTCAAGCCTCCCCAACTGAAACCTGAATATTCCAGAATGCCGATCCCAAGTGCCGAGAATAGAAACGTGAAGGCACGAGTGGAGAGGAAAACATTGCAGCAGCTCGGACTCCTGCCAGTGCTCCAGCCACAGCCTTTCCTGGTGCCCAAGGTTTCAAATTTTCCACTTGTCATCAGCATTCAAGGCTTGTCCCAGCCTGTCCTCTCCTCGGTCCTCCATTGCTCCCTCCTCCTTTCTGCGGCTGCATGGCGCATATCAATTGAGGGAGGCTCCTCGCATGGGGCCTGCCAACCTCTTCCCAGTCTGCGGGCTTGGCTCCCGAGCGGGCTGCACACCCTCGCTAGCCGTGCCAGGCTGGGTCTGTTCACCAGCGGCCCCCTGGCTTGGCTGGTGTTCCCGGAGCTAGTCAAAGTCCCATCCCGGCAGCTCCCTCAGCCCTGGGACAGGCTTATTGGGATGGAATTTGGTTAAAAGGCTCTACTCCACTATCTTCCCAATATCAGAGCTGGGAGGACTCAGAGGGATAGCAGCCTTCCCTCCTGTGCGTTGGGAAAGGAGACAGAGAGGTCTGAAGCAGCGGGGGGTGGGAAGTGGGCGGGAGGAGAGTCACGGGTCACGCGAAGCTTTCTGGTCTAAGCGTGGGGTGACGTTAGGGGCAAGGCTCAGGAAGCAGATTCTTTCAGGTGGTTTAGATACTTGAAGGATGACTATTCCCTGATGGGAAACAAAACAATCAGAAAGAACTCGGTTCTAGCTGAGATCGCTTATGGCCTCAGGGGCAAGCCCCAAAGAAGGCGATCCTTGCTCATTCAAGGTGTGCGCTTCGTCAGAAGGGACAAATGGCATTCAGCAGATGGGACTAGGAATTACTTCCCTGGAGGAATATGTTGGTGCCCGACTGCCCCGGGCCGGCTGGAACCACCGTGTTATGGGAATCCCTAGGCTGCCCGAGGATTCGGGAGCGTGCTCTGGGCCCGAGTCTGTGTGTGGCTGTGTGTGGCTATGACTGCCGTGTCTCCACCAAAGGGGGCAGCCTGGGGAAGCAGGGCGTTCTCGGTGAAAGGCCCAGAGTCTAGCCCCACCAGACGAACATCAGCTGTCGTCTGGTGTCAGAACTTTGCCATCACAGCTCAAGGCAAGGTGAGGAAAACGCACCTGTCCCCTGGCCCTTCCCCAGGGACATTACCCCTTGGCGGGGACAAAGACCACAAAGCCTCAGGACCACTGGAGCGGGGCCCCTCGTGCCAGCCCTGTCTGCCAGCAGGGGCTTAGGAAAACAGCGGGTGAAAGAGACCTTGCGATCTTGGGAGAGGAAATTTGGGAAGAGGATGGGTGGGTCGGAGTCCTGATTTGTGAAGAATTGAAACTTTCGCATTTCCCCTCGCCAACCACAGCTTTTCCAGGCCTAGTGCGGGCGGGGGGGGGCCCCACCCTGGTGTCGGGTATCTGCAAATATGGGGCACTGGATGAGTGTGGGAGGGAAAACAGTAGGGCGCAGACTCCACAGGCAAAAGTGCTGGCTGTCACCCCCTCCCCTGGGGCTGGCAGGGCCACCTTGAGAAAGTCTAGGCCTCCCTTTCCTGTTACATAGAGAGCTACGGCGAGCAGCCTTTGGAATCGCCGTCAGAGGTCAACTGTCTAACCATCCGCCGGGTGCACAGATGCCCCCCCCCCCC